TTGACATTGGCTGTAGCAACTTCTTACTAGACACGTCTCTGGAGACAAGGGGAAGAAAAGCAAAACTGAACTATTAGGATTTAATCTAGATAAAAAGCTTCTGCACAGAGAAGGAAGCAATCAACAAAACTAAGAGGCAACCTATGGAATGGGAGAATTTGATATGCAAATGACATGTCAGCTAAAGGGTTAGTACCTAAAATCTATAAAGAACTTATCAAACTCAACACCCAAATAATAAATAATCCAGTTAAGAAATGGGCAGAGACATGAATAGACATTTTTCCAAAGGAAATTCCATTTCCATTATGTATACACACACACACACACACACGATGGAATATTACTCACTCAGAAATCTTGCCATTTGCAATGATGTGGATAGCTAGAGGGTATTATGCTAAGCAAAATAAGTCAATCAGAGAAAGACAAATACCATATGATTTCACTGATGTTGGAATTTAAAAAACAAAATGAGAGGGGGGGAAACCAAGAAACAAGACTCAACTATAGAGAACAAACATGGTTACCAGCAAGAGGTGGGTGGGGGGATGGGTTAAATAGGTGATGGGAGTTAATGAGTACACTTGTTGTGATGAGCACTGGGCATTGCATGGGAAGTATTAAATCACTAAATTGTACACCTAAAACTAATATTACAATGTATGTTAACTAACTGGAATTTCAATAAAAACTTTTAAAAATGGTAGGTTAATATCATAAAAGAAAGAAACAGAACTTGCCACAAGTAGACATACACTCTTAAGAAATTCTAAAAAATGTTCATCGGGCACAAAGAACATGATTTCAGATTTAAGGTCTGGGATGTAAATGAGAATTAAGAGCAGGGTAAGTGGTAAATATGTATACAATTGTATGAGCTTTGACTGAAAAAACTATAATAATAATGTCTTAGTTTTAAAAAATAGAGAATTAAGAAATGGAAGCATCATAATTTGGTCTTTCTAAATTAGGAGCAGAGAGAGGTACCTCAGACTCTCCTGACAGCCAAAGTGCTATTTATACTGTCAATTCCATGAACTCAAATATTGTGACTTAATTATCTTTGCATCTGCCAGTACCTAATATAGTCTTCAACCCCAAAAAAAGTAGTATAGTGAAGGGATTATGTGGTCAATTTCTTGGAATTGAGTCCTGGATCTACCTCCTACCAATTGTAGAACCTTGGGAAAATTCTTTAACCCATCTGTGCCAAGTCTTCCTGATCTATATAATGGAGTTATATAATAGTAGTTGCTTTTTTACAGGACTACTGTGAAGATAAAATAAGATATGCCTGGCACAAGATGCTTAATAATTGTTATCAACTTTTATTACATAAGAAAATAGAGATTTACAAGTAAATTAGTTATATTTTTATAATGGTTTACCTAATACATATAAATATTATTTGGCCTGATATACTTAATAACATATACTTAGAAAATATCTTAATTATGTCAAAGCAGTTTTTAAAATTCTCTTCCAATCTTGAAATAATTTATCTCTAGAATAATACATGTAATATTAGGCAATCTTACTCTCTATTTTTACAATATTATATCTGAAGAAATGAAAAGACCCAAACCAACTTATTTCCCCGTTAAGCCAGCAATGTTTCAGAATATTGTTTTTCTTAGGTACATTGCCTTGAAATCGAGAAGGTATTTCATCTTCACTACACATTTCAAGATCATGCTATAGTAATCAAAACAGTGTCCATTTAATGTGAGGATTCTGTATCTACAAGGTGTTTTCAGTCACAGCATCTGCCCATTTGATTCTTACCTGAGCAAAGAATATTGTAAAGAAAGCTTTTATTAAAAGCCATTAATCATTGTCATTTAGTACATAATTGAAAAGGCAAAACTTTTACCAGAAGATAAATATTAAACAGTGATATTAAAATCATTATTCGAGGGCGCCTGGGTGGCTCAGTTGGTTAAGCTACTGCCTTCGACTCAGGTCATGATCCTGGAGTTCCAGGATCAAGTCCTGCATTGGGCTCCCTGCTCAGCGGGGAGTCTGCTTCTCCCTCTGGCCCTCCCCCCTCTCATGTGCTCTCTCTCTCTCTCTCAAATAAATAAATAAAATCTTTAAAAAAAAAATCATTATTCAAAACACGGCACTGGTATTGCCAAACAAATATAGTTACTGACTGACCATACAAAAATTATATAAATAAGTGAGATTTCATAACAAGAGGACACTGCACATATGTAATACCACTATTCCTTGTGAATGTTTATTAACTAGCAATTAAATTAGCTTATCAATAACTTTAATAGAAAAAAAACCCACTATGATACTCATTTTATTTGCTATTTATATTTCTTTTTTTTTACCACCAATACTGACGTATCTCTTCAAGATAATTATGGCTGATTTATTCCCTCCTCACATTTTTTATCAAATCTGGGAAACATCTGCATAGGACTCCATTTAAGGGAGACAGTGCCAGTGATAGATCTATCATCATTAGTATGAGCTCAGGCTTGTGGTACTTTCTAACTCTGATATGGAAAATCAGATAATGCTTCCTTGAGAAAATCCTTGAATTAGTTAATATCTTAATTAATTAGTTTGTATTAATTAACTAGTCAATATCTTTTCTATTTCATTTCTCTGTCTTTACAAAAACCTACATAGATCATAATATTCTATAGTATATGCATAAGAACCTTAAGACTGCAGTGCATTATCCTTAAAAGTAGTGAACAAAGTATATCATCATTCTTTTACTTTTAATATATTGTGTTAGATTATGATTACTGTATTTGCAAAGTACACACAGGATAACTCATATCCATGCAACACTGTAGTTTACAAACTGGTCTGACACTTCTCATGACTCTCCAAAGAACCTTCTGAGACAGGTGGATCTTGTGGAGCTAATATTTTCAAGAGGAAGTAAAACAGGAAAGAGAACTTTGTATAGGAATATAATGCATATCACAGCACCCTCTGAACAATTTAGTATAAGAACAGGGCTGAGGCCTCACAATTATATTACTTTGTCTCACCCTTCCTTGGCTCTAATAAATATGAATAGAACTAAATAAAAGAAAGATATGCCATGTTTATAATACATTAGACTTTAGATTTTAATGCCTATTCTCCAAAATTGCTTATTAGATAAAAATTTCAATAACAAACTTTGCAGGGCTTTTTTTTTTTTTTTTAGAAAAAATTCATCCATGCTGATAGAAATCAGAACAGTGGTTGCATATGGAGGTGGGTAGAGACTGACTGGAAGCAGATATGAAGAATTACCTGAGAAAATGTAAATGTTTCTATTTTGATTGGCGTTTCTGGTTACACAGGTATGTACGCTTGTCAAAATTCTAAGAATTGTATATTTAAGAGTTGAATTGTGAATTGATCCCTGATATGGCTATTCTTTATGTGGTTAGCATATCCTATTTGATCAGAGACTTTAATCTGATAAGTCAGTCCTGTTTAAACACATAAATAACAACCCACACTATTTATTCATCAGGTATCCTGTAAGTGAAGGAAGGTGGAATATACCAAAAAAATATCAAACATCATAAACCATCCCTCAGGAAATTTAATCAGTTAGAAATACTTTTTTTTAATTTGCTTTTATCTGACTACCAGTTAGATGAGTTAGATCATTTTGTAAGGCTCTTTTGATTTCATTTTTTTATTGTAATAGTTGTTTGTTTTGTATTTATTTTGTTTATTCAGAGTTCCTCTTTCATGAATTGCCTCTTTATGTTTTGTACCTATTTTACTATTGGGTTTCCAGACTACCTTATTTATTTATAGCAGAACTTTATTTTTCTACATATAAATCTTTAATTGGTTATATACATTGTAAATATTCTTTTCATTTTGCATCTCTTTTGTTTTACAGAAATATCTTTATGGAGTGCACCTTATATATCACATTTATAAAATAGGTATATACTCTTTTGGTATCAATAATTTCTACTTTTTTTTCTGATTTCTATTGTAACTTCTCTGTTTATCCTTCAGTGTTTTAGAAGAGGTTTTTTATTAATTGTTATTTTTTTATTTCCAAAGAAGTGGGAATGGGTGGGAATGAGTAGGAACATGTAAAAAGAGAGGGTACAGGATGGGAAAGGGTAAGTTAACTTTTTTGCTTCTAACCGATTTCTAATTTACTAAACTTTGCTCAAAGTTGTAGTTCTAGGATACGGATTCTTTAAAACTGGGGGGACTTGGTTTGTAACTTTGTATGTGGGTAATTTTTTATAAATACTCCATGTACCCTTGAAAAAAATGGGTAGAAAATCCTGTACTTAGAGCATAGTATAAAATAGGTAAGTTTCCTGTTATTTTTGTACGTTGACTAGTGGACTTTTCTCTAGTCCACCATTTTATTAAAGTAAAATTTTAAAGAAGAATTTCAGGCTTATCAATTATTGTCATTGAGTCAACAAAATTAAAAGTTTTTACATGGATAAAAATAAATGATTTAATAGATGATAACACTAAAAATATTCACCATATAAATGCATCTAGCCTTAAGAAAAATAATAAAATGTATTTTTGCTTTTATTAAATTCATAAAAATTATAAGAGCTTTGAAAATCACAAGTACACAATGTGTATTTCTCCACTGGTAAGTAGGCTACACTTATTTTTTGCTCTTTAAAAATATATAGTCCTGGGCGCCTGGGTGGCTCAATTGGTTAAGCGACTGCCTTCAGCTCAGGTCATGATCCTGGAGTCCCAGGATCGAGTCCTGCATCGGGCTCCCTGCTCGGCAGGGAGTCTGCTTCTCCCTCTCCCGCTCCCCCGTCTTGTGCTCTTTCTCTCTCTCACTCTCTCTCTCAAATAAATAAATAAAATCTTTAAAAAAAAAAAAAAGTAAAAATATATAGTCCTTCGTTATTCATATTCTGTGTATCATATGTATTAAGGAAAAGTTATTTTCTTAATATCACACATAATTGCCTTTTTCTTTATCTTAATTCACAGGAATGTATCAAAGGGAATTCATTGCTTACCAATTTGCTTTCTGTACTGATCAACAGGAAGTTTTATAGTGGAGGCATCTTTTCTACCCATCTTTGATCTCCAAAATGCCTGCTGCAAAGAAAGAAAATAATTATGATGAAGTCCTAAAACATCAAAAGGACTATCTACAAACTTCAGGAATAATTTATTCCATAAAATTCATTTTTAAAGCAATGGGTAAAAATGTCTTTGACTTATTCCCGTTAGATATCAGTAAAGAACACAAAATTCTCTCAAATAAATTATCAAGGATACAATTGCTGGTAATTAAATTTCCCAATTATTTGTTCTTGGTAACATTCATCTTATCAAGTACTATCAATACTCAATTAAATCAAACTGTTAGTATTATCTGTAAATGTGAAAATCATGTACCATTTATTCAGATGGGTTGGAGTTGTAGGCATGCTCTTGGCAGTATGTTTCTTTCCAATTACCTATTCTGTTACACAAAAAGGCTAAAGTTTGATTCTCAGATACTTTGAATCTTGTTTTAAAAAGCATGACATAGGTAACAAAAGTGCATAAATTAGAGTTCTAGTTCTGTCTCTTCTTCTGTAAACAATATAAATTACTACCATTTACTAAAATTCTCATGCTTACTACATTATATGCACTATTTGATTTAATCCACAACACATCTTTCAAATCTTATTATTTTTATTGAATTTAAATATGTGGCAGACATATGTGGAACTTAAGAAACAAAACAAACAAGCAAAGGGAAAAAAGGACAGGAGAGAGAGGCAAACCAAGAAACAGACTGAACTATAGAGAACCCACTGATGGTTCCCAGAGGGGAGGTGGGTGAGGGGATGGGTGAAATATGTGAGGGGGATTACGGAGGGCACTTGTGATGAGCACGGGGTGTTGTATGGAAGGGCTGAATTACTGTATTGTTCACCTGAAACTAATATTACACTGCCAACGAACTGAAATTTAAATAAAAACTAAAAAAATATATGTGGCAGAGATTGCACGGTCACATGGAACTAAGCAGAAATAGTAAGAAGGGTATAAAATCTGAGGGAATTATATTTACAAGGAAATCAACTTTGTCTAAAAAAGTATGTGAATGAAAACCAATCCTTGGACCTCTAAACTTAAACCGGCAGATTGCAGCCCCCAAGGAAGGCAAAAGCTGTAGATTTGGAACATCCACTTCATATGTGACCAGAAAGGAGAACCATCCAGAAGGGAGGGCCATAAAGAACAACGGACAAGGGAACTTCTCTAAAAAACCATAATTAGACTCCAAGGAAGAAACTTCTGTTAGTACAATGGGCATTCTCAGTGGCCTCACGAACAGCAGGTTTTCTTATCATGCTGGATCAGTGCTTCCTGTATGTTTCCCATTCTTCCCATCCTTCCTTTCTAAATGGGACTGATTATAGGAGATATGAAGCAGTTACCTTCTGCTTCACCATTAGGAAAATTTTATAGTCTGTAAACTTCAAGGAAGCATATTCCAACCTAAGAGGGAGCACTATGCTCTGGCTTGAGATCCTTGGCTTTGTCCTGGATGCAGTAAGCGGGGAACTTTAGGATTTTCCTACTAAAGAGTCAGGAAAAAGGATATTCATGGCTATATCATGACCAGAAAGGTGAACTATAGGAAAAATTGCTGGCTGCTTACTAAAATACATGTTCTCCTTCGTTTTGTTTTGTTTTGTTTTGTTTCCTGAGCTCACCTGACAACTTTTCCAGCCTCCTTCTATATTAGCTGTGGGCATGTGATTGAGTTTCAGCCACCAGAATATGAATAAATTAGTGTTTGCTACTTCTAGAACTAACCTATAAAAACTTCCCATATGTACTCATTCATGTGGCTAAAATGGAAATGGCCCCCAGAGTGATGCTGGAAATAATGTGATGAGGATGGCAGAGCCTGTGACTTCCTGGATCCTGAAGGACTACACAAAGGAAACCTACTCAACCAACTTGTTTTTCTCTTTCACACTGCTGTGAGAACAAGAATTAACTTGTAGCATCTGAGCCTCTATACACTTTATATTTGTTTGTTACAGTAGGTAGTACCACCCTAACTAAAACAAGTTTGTGTAGATGTCTCCATATAAATTATTAAACTGTAATTTTCCTAAAGAACAATATTAAGGTTCTCAAATGCCAAATGTCTTTGAAATCTGTTCAGATCAAACTGTATTGTTTATTTATACATATGGTCACACAGAGCAATCCTAACAATGATACCACCCAACACTGTAAAAGGCATCCCCAAATTAATAATTACTACTTATGTGTAAGAAAATTATAAGTTCTGCTAAAAATCCATTTTTCTATACATAATAATCTTCAGATTTAATATCATGGTAATATTTGAGAATGTGCAAAGTAAGACAAAGTCAAATAAATTAAATCTTCACCTCTCATAAACCATGTAGCTATCACATCTAAGATAATATAACAGTAAAATTTCAGAAATGAAACCAAGACATCACCTAACCCTATATTCTCCCTTGTTATTATTCAGAACATTAATACAAGCATCATAAAAAATATCAATAGATATGTTATAATTTATTAATATAGCAATCCATTTGCATAGTGTTTTGCATTTACTAATTGTAAAGAGGAGTCAAGTTATTTTAATCTTGATTATGTGGGGCTAGAAAAAATATCACCATTTCAGGAGAGAAGTTAGTTTAAATAAATAAATACACAGACATTATTCCCTCTTCAATTTAGTTTTGTCTGTTGCCTTTATGGAATAGCTTAAATTTTTAAAATGCAAAATACTAAGGCCACCTACCAAAACAGTCACTCACTATGCTTCCTTCAATTCCTGCTTGGTCATTTAAACCAGCATCCTAACAGAGATAACACTTTAAAAGCCAATATTTTATTCATTCCTTACCCGTTGTAAATAAAAAAGGAAGGGATTCATAGAGAATATCTTTTCAACAAAAGGAATTAGATTTTACTTAATTTAAAATGTACTTTAAATGAACAAAGTGATACCAAAAAAACTAAAGAACCTAGGCCTATACTCTATGAATTGATACATTTTATATGTATAAAACCTGTGAATATAAAATCCTTAAAAGAACTTGAACCTAAGAGATACATTAAAGAGGAACTAGCTTTAAATTTTTGTTCCCAATGATTTTGGTGACTGATAATCCTTAACCAAAATTTCAAAAATTAAAACTTTATTCTCTGAAATTATTCTACTCCATTCTTTATTTATTCTATTCTATTCTTTAAGCAAAATAAAATTTTACCAAATGTTGAAACAAAAAAACATCTAAAGAACACACCCATGCACAAATACCTTACATTTTATTAGCTGTAACAAACACAAGAAGGTAGAAAATATTTTACTTTCCTAATAAACACATTGAGGCTATTTTAAATGATCTAAAGAGATTCCCATTCATGTGTATGGTGCAAACTGTCAGCACCTCAGACATCTAGAACCTCTAAAATGTTCTGACTTTTCTTTGTTCTTCAAAGCCTTGCAGTAATCATCATTCATTTCTATTGCTTTGATGGTTAGATAGCAAACTCCCAAGAAATCCAGAGAGACATTAGCACATAGAGCCGCAATTTCTAATAAGACAGCTATTTGCATACAAGATCAGCCACAATTTAAAATGTGTTGTGATAGATGCGGAAAGGGAATAACAGATTTATATTAGCATGTACAATACCAAGATTGTTTTCACAATTTAATTCCTTGTAGATTACATCTCATCACCTTCTTTTATAAAGAACACCGCATTCCCTGAGGAACTAACTTGCTCTGAGACCCAGCTAAACTAAAATATGGATTAATAATATAATATTTATTATTTATGAATTTCGCTGTAGGAATGATTTCAGATTAAATCATCAGAGAACTTTTTAACATTCCTGAAACTTGATAACACATACTTAAGGAAGAAAAAATGCTAATTTTATTTAATGCCTAAATTGCATATTAAAATACCTCATAATTAATTTTTATTTAATTAAAACTTTACACTCTTCAGGACTTTTCAGGTTAAAGAGAGTGTTTTTGTATTTAATATCCTTTCTTAACCTGAATTTTACACAGCAATTTGCCACACGTATTTTTAAGCACAATATGTGACCTTTAAAAACAAACAAAGGTAGTGCAATATCCTATCACATTCCAACCAAGTTATTTCATTGCTCATTTATACCTTTTTTATGAAATCCAGAGAGAACAAGTAAAGAAATAAGAAACCTGAAGCCTTCACATATGTCTCTGCTTCCAGAAAAAGCATTCAATCCAGACTGTGACATTTAAATATAGATCAAAACACAGGTTATTAAAAAATTCAACCTATGACCACAGAAAAAAATAATCATCTCAGTTTTTAAGGCTAAAGGCCCTTCCTTAAAAAAATTCTTACTTTAGTATGAAGTTATAAATAGGCAGAAAAGATGTTTGGTTATGACTGGATCAGAATTAAGAACCAATCATGAAAATAAAATCTTATGCCAGATGTTGGGATGAACAAAGTAGTGGATAAATAAAGAAGACACTTGTCCCTAATCTGATGCATTCATTATTCCCAGACTGATGGTTTAAAAATTCAAAGCTGATCATGTAAGCAACATATTTAAGTCATCTAAATAGTGGCCCATTTCCTAGATAAAGTAAAAACTCTTAATATACAGGACCATTAATAACACAAGTTTGTCCTGTGTTCCTTACTCATCTTCTAGTGCACTATCAAATTCAGCTTTTAGTTCCATGATTTTGACAAGCTCATTCACATTTTTATGAATTTACTCATGCTCTACAATGTACTTTAAATGTCATTTCCACATTCCCCCACTTGTGGAATCTATATTTTAATATTCCAGCAAGGGCACATGATTCAGATCTTCAGAGATAATTCTCCACACTTAAGGAAATGAAAAAAATTAGTCATTTGGGAGACTATCAAAGTGTGACACAGTAGACAATGTATACTTTGACATAAATATAACATTGAGATAAGTTATTACAAGCAGGAAAAAATTCCTATTGTGTAAAACTGGAGAGCTAACCAGTGGTCTTCTTAAGTTTTCAGGGATCAAAGTGACCATCTCATCTTCAC